GGTTTTCCGAAAAAAGGTGGGTCTTGGAAAATTTTGGCCGGATCTCAAAATCTCCGTCAGTGTTTGTGATGGGTCTTGAAGGCTCATTTTTGGGACGGTAATTTTGCATCATGGAGGCTCAAATTTTTTGAAGTCTTGGTCTCGAATTTTGAAACCAGGGTCTTGCAAAGTGTTGAATTTACCATTGTGGCTTCAAAATCCCAGTGAGACTACTCATCCCAAAATGTACAGAGTTTCTTCCCAGGGGAAGGGAAGAGAATATTATTATACACTGTTGGCATTTTCAGCCCTCCTTAGGAATTAACTTTTTCAATTTTTTTTGTCCAGGGGCCAATACAGAAAACTGTGAAAGGGATGGCTGGGACACTTGCCCACTTGCTGGCTATCATACTAGTTACACATTTCTCTGAGAATTCTAGGGCCTGTCCCCTAAATCTGCCCTTGGGTGTCCACGAGCAGGAGGCATGACTACCAGACAATGTGACGATGCTTGCATGACAAAATTTTTAATATAAAAATAACACAATGCATTGTTTTAAATAGTATTCAGTCTATGGTCTTTGCTCAGAAAACAAAGTAGGCAAGGGGGGACTTGGTTTCCCTTCTCACTAGTCTGAGAAAACAGCTGACATTTCACGATACCACAACTCTGGAAGTGCTCATGTCTGAGGAACAAGCACAGAAATTCCATACTGATGTGTCACAACTTAGGTCTGATTGGTTAAGGCTAATTTCCCTTGCAGCATGATTTCTATATGGAATTTTTGCCATTGTTCCTCAGACCTTATTTTGTAGGGAAACCAATGGTGATGTCACAGAATATTGTTGGCTGTTTTCACAGTCCACCCTCTTGCTGGTCATTCCCCTATTGTCACCTCACCTTCTGCAGTAGCCTGCTGAGTAACAAAAAAAATAGAAATCTTAGGTGTGAAAAACCTTCGGCTGCACAATTTTTGCTTTACCCAACTTAAGCTAGTCGGAACAATAAAGTATACAGTTGAAACTCCATTAAGTGGCCACCCTTGTGGTACTGGGCAAGTGGCCGCTTAATAGAGGGTTAAGTTCCTATTCTTGGCTACAAGTATTTTGTGACTGATTACTGGTCAGTGGCAGATCCAGACCTTCAGATAAGGGGGGGCACTCATCCAGACCCTAAGATAAGGGGGGAGGGGCCTCAAAAAAATTTTTTTCGGCCCTTCAGGCCTCAATTTAGTTGAAAAATAAGGGAGACGGGGCAGGTCCCTTCCCTGGATCTGCCACTGCTGGCTGCTTAATTTTTGGTTCCTTAATGCTGGTTCAAGTGTATTTATCAGCTGAGTGGATAAATTTCCAAAAAATAGTATAAAATACAAGAGCTGGCATTTTGAGCTACAAGAGCTTGATTTCGAGAGAATAAACTACTGACGGCATGATAGCTGGCTATGCGTATTATTTAGTCCACAACTTACAATAATTAAAAAAAAGTAAATAGAATATGTTAAAATTTTACAATGTATACAAAAGAATCAAAGAAGTAGGTGAATTGACATTAGGGGATCTGACTGTAATTCCATCTCCTCATCCCCCTGTTGCAAACAGTCTCTACCTTTTCTCTTCAAAGAGAGTAAGAAATCATGTAGTCAGCTACACAGCCATTTTTTGAGTTGTCACACAACGTTCCTCCCCACTAACTTTGTGGGGAGGAGCGTTGCCTGACGACACTAAAAACGGCTGTGTAGCAGACTAGAAATCATGTGCATCAGCAGTGAAGCAGCAGAGAGATGTAACAACCAAGAAAATGAGCTGCATTTTCTAGCGTGGCCACTGTAGCTATCAAAAGCTATCACCCACTTTTGTGAAGAAATAAATTATAGAGACTGTTTGTAATCTCAGAGCAATATTTTGCTACCCTCTAGAGAATCAATCCCAAGTATGAGAACTGAATGAGTCAAAAATCTTTAAAATGGACACAGCCATGCCCAGAACCAGCACCAACCATTTATCTTTGATAGGTGTCGACCACACAGCTCATAGAGATAAATAAAGGGACCAACAGAAGGTGTCACTGTTAGGGAGGTTGTGTTCATAATTATAAAGAGAGCTGACTGTATTATAAATAAACACTAAGGACAGTTGCCAGCACTGTCTCCAATGCTATAACACTTGTCACTCAAACTAAGACGTACCAGTGACAAAATGTTTGACCTTGTAGCACATTCTTTCAGTAGTAATAAATTGTTTTTAAATATCGGTAATACTGATAAACTCACTGATCGAGGTCCTGATTACTTGAGACTTATGGGTTCCCGTTCAACTCAGACAGGTTGGCTTTCACAGCTTTTCCGACACAAATGATAATTATTGACCAATATCATGCAGATCATTAATAAGGCACCTTGTTCCTATCCTGTAACCTGTAATCATGCAGGCCCTTTACTATTAAAATAATAATGAAGAGTGCCTGATTGCAGGCGAAGTCAGATTGGTCTGAGATAGCCTGCTTGACAGATTTTATTATTAGGGTATTTAAAGGCTGGTTTTGGGGAGCAAGCATGAAGCACAAGACACACATCCCAATAGAAAGGAGAAGAGAGCAGCCCCAAAACCACAAAGAGTGTCTGCACCAACAAGGGCTGTAATGTACACTACGTCAAGATGATTTTTCAGCTCGGCTTTGGGTGAACAGAAGGCAAAGCAGAAAGAAATTTATCAGTTTGGAGTCGAACCACCTGAAGTAACATTCTTGAGTTTGCCGCTGCTGGCCAGTCTCATTGGCCTGAGAGTCCTCCCAGTCTGAGTTCACACCTGTCTCATAACCAGGACCTGAAACTAACAAGTACTAAAATATCCTACAAATGATATGGGATTGGATATAATAATCTTGGCCTTCTTGCCTGTGTACCTTCAAAATACAGTGTACAATAATTTAGCTGGTTAATCAATCTAACTATTGAGAATGGATTAATGAATCAAGTGCAAACATCAACAAAACACACAAAAAAAATTAAAAAATAACTTTTACCTTTCAAATAGTAATTTGTATAGAGACAATATGATCTAAAGTAAACTAAGTAAGTGATCTTCACATAATACATCCCCCTTCCCAAACTCAGCCCACAATAAATTCCTGTTTAGATTTAATCTTTCCAAAATCCATCAACTGCCAAGAACCCCTTCTCCCTTTGTTTTTCTGATGACTTTCCATGGCCAGGGCCCAGTTCCTCGAAAGAAGCTTAAGTTTAACCCAGGATTAAGCCAAATTCTAAGCCAGGTTTTGTTGTCCAAGAACATGTTACTCAAGCTTACAAAATACTTTTGTGTCTCAACTCCAAGATTCAGTGATGATAGCATAGAATTTTACTCTAGGCAATACATAGAAAGGTAAATAAAAAAAGAGAACAAAATTTGTAATCCCGGTTTAGCCCCAATTGGCCTTCAGGAACCGGGGCCATCAGGAGAAGGGCTTATATGACCTCCAAGAACCATGCAATTTACATCACTTTCTCTTTTTCAGATCACCATGATCACATTGGTTTAAATAACATAATTATGTTTGTTGTGCTTATCCTCTGAGTCTACACTAATCCTAATATTTTTATTTCTAACTGACAATGTGTCCCTCTCTACTTCCATTCCAAAGGAGCCAGTTTTAAATACAATTATATAATAATTATATTGAAAAGCAATTAATACAAAAATAGGTAGTGCATGAATTTCTTGGCAAAAGTATGGGTCTGACTGTATAATAACGACTGTGTTGATTTACATTTTCAGTTTTTACTATAATAATACTTAGTTTCTCAAAGCTAAAACGTCCCTTAGTGACATCTGATTGACTGCTTGATTCTTAGTGTATGTCATTGCAAAGTTAAGGGAGAATTTTATGTTGATAAATCGGCCGTTGTTATCTTATTAAGACAAAACAATTCAAAACATTTGATTGCAATGATTTAACTCTGTCTTCAATGTTCTCTTTCCAAAATGCATGGCCCATAAAAAGAAAAGCTGTGTATACTTC